TCTGCCCCACATTATCTACCTGATTGTCACAATACTACAATAGAACTAAAACAAATATCGCTAATGATAGAATAGATTGCAGACCAAGGGCAACTTCTGTGATGTTCGTAGAATTGCTCTCCCCGGACATATTCTGAAGTGCTTCCTTGACATTCTTACCATCATCTGCCTCGGGAAGTGGAGCAAGTTTGCATTTGGTTTGACATGAGGAACATCAAACCAAATGTGTTTTAGGATTGCTCAAGACTCAAGGATGGACCATCATGATATTTCGGTGCGTTCAAACCCAGCTTCCTCTGCCAACACCACTAAAAGAGGTGAAAAGTTTTATTATGTTCTTAATATAAATATATATATATATTACTTATCAATAATTATATAGTGTATATAGTATAGGTATGTATGCTGGACCCTCCTGCTTCTGCACATGATCCCTCCAGCTTCATACCAAGATGCTGCAGCAGACAAGTTTGAAGGAATGCTGGTGTCACTGCTAGGACTGGAAGTTGTGGTATCAGTGATGGCCTGAAGGAAACATAAGAGCCCAACTTACCCTGTGGCCAAATACAGTTTGCACCCTCCCACTATGCGAACACATAGGTCTTGCCTCCTTGCAGCTGCTGGTTGACTATGTTTGAGATTAAAGCGGTTCTCTACAGCGTTGCGCTGAGTCAGGTGTTCAAAAATCAATTTGGCTAGCTGTTAATTGATCGTTCATCTGAGCTCAGAGCGACAATCTCTACCTGTCAGGCTTCAAGCAGTTCCGTGTACAGTCAACTGGCATTGGGGATGCAATGCCGCCTAGCTGTTGCCAATGCAAAAAAAACACATAAATTAAATTCTGTACTGTATGTCCTTCAAAGGCTGCAGCAATGACAAGCGCCACCAATATTGTTTTGAACCGTAAACTACAGTATGAAGGAGACCCAATTTATCTTGCTGATTAGAGACTGTGCAAATGCGGCCAAAAAATCCCAAAAAGCATGCAACATGAACTGCAGCTTGGCGTCTGTGGTGGAAGTGTCTGCCAGCTCAACCTCCTTCAACAAGAGAAAACACAGAGAAGTCCCTGTGCCCGGGAAAGTCGCACAGAAACACGTTCTCAATGCTTCTCAGTTCTTGTTACTACTAGTAAGGCACTTGTTACTAGTAGTAAGGCACTTGTTACTAGTAGCGTGGCACTTGTTCCTAGTAGCTTCTTGTTACTAGTAGTAAGGCACCTGTGCCCGGGAAAGTCGCACAGAAACACGTTCTCAATGCTTCTCCAGACTAAAGATTGTTGCGACCAAAACTTATAGAACCTCGGGCGCCGTCAATATGGTCTGCTTTAAGGCCCGCTTGAAAGGGGCCTTACTAAAAGGCTTCCATACAATCATACCATGTGTTCCTTCTTCTCGCTATCTGTTTGAAGTTATTAGTAGAATTCCAGAGTTCAGGGCTTCAGGGTCTAGGCCCTTTGGCAAAAACCTGCTTCCAGATTCCTTGAGGGTTCCAGCAAGGATTGCGATCAGGGTGTGGTGTAAGCGAATTGAGACCCAACAAAGCCACCTAATGAAGGTCCTGGTATATGAGTGGAGAAACAGCAAAAAAGACGCTATAGTATACTATGTATAATACTCCATCATGATCACTCACTTGATTCAGATGATAAATCCGCACTCAATTGGCGTTTTCACATGTTCGTCAAATGGGTTGGTTTGTTGGCACCAGTCCTGCAACGCTGCAGTGAAGGTCCTGAAAACGCTTTCACTTTCAGGGGAAACTGATCTTTCACACCAGCCTAACAGCATGAACACCTTACAAACAACAATATATCTTTGCTTCATCGGTGCATTCTGCTTGTTTTACTTTTCTTTATTTTAATAAGATCGGAATGTCGCAATTGTGCACATGCCTGGCCCTTTGAAATGCCGCTGCAGTCCGCAGCAGCAAGAATAGAGGCAAAAGCCTGTAGGTCAAACATGGAGATCTTGAAGTGGCTTGGTATCTTGGTCTGTCAATATGTCAATATGAGCAATAAGAAAGTTCTACCATAAGTCTCACAATTGACCCTGCAGACGGAGGGTTCCCCAAAGACATTTGCGACCTTGCAAATCACTAACAAGACATTGTTGACCAATTGGATACCCTTGAGAAAAGGGTGGGTAGGGGGGCAATGAACATCGTGGACTCGATTCGTGGACAGGGCTCGCGTCGTGCGTAGATTCATACTTTGTTCGATGTGTTGAATGTATGAATCTTGCAGTTGTTTGGCTTCATGAAGGATATACAGTACCGTTTTCTTCCTTGGTTGCTTTGTGGTTGGTTCGGTTGTTGCGGCTTTCTGGTCCGTCACACGGGTTTTGCTTTCCGGGTCCCGTACTACCTTTTCTTCAGATCGACTGCATACTTAGATTCGTTGATTGATTTGGGCTGCCACTTCAAGCAAGAAGTTTTTGGTGAAGAGTGTTTGAGCATTGTGTTGGATCCGGATCGCTTTCCGCTCAATTTCGCGTGTCTTGAAGAGTTTCATGAAATGTTGTTTCGATCATGGTTGACAGTGTGGTCAGAATATGTGGAAGCACAGTTTGTTCCCCCTTACATGACAGTGTCTCTTCTTATTTTATCTCAGAGACTACTTCGGTTCTTGCTTACCGCCATGCATTGCAGAAAATCTACGTTGAACCACCGGCCGTTGAAATGAAGAAAAGAAGGCTGACTCACTAAGGTGCTGATTCCCGGGTGGGTCCCAAAACACTGCCGTACCAATAATTACAAAACACACATGTCTAGTTTCGCGTGTGCCTTCACCCGTAAAAGAAGCCTCGGGTTCATGTTTTCCATGCGTCTGTGTCTGTTTGCGATTCTAAGACGAATTGAATTTGTGCATCAGGACCTCTATCACATCAAGCAACTGTCAATCTCTTCTTGCACGGACTAAAAAAACAAGAATCCGCTTCCAATGGACGAAAGATAGCTCTATGATGCTTTTTCAAAAAAGGCTGTGTTTCAGACTGTTTCTTCACCAGTGAATGCAGACGGTCGGGAAACCTCCCATCTGCCACGATCCAGAAGAACTAGATGCTTCGACTTTCTCCCACCCTGCCTCACCATATGGATGGAGGTTCGATAAATGGATATCCTATCTCTCCAAGGGAAGGGTTGTTTCCCCTGTCCGAGCCAGAATGGGTGCAGCAATGGATTCTGCAAACAAAAGCAAACACGCAAGAAGTCCTTATGAGTTGCTCTGGACGCAATCTGTGAGTGTACTTGCAAAGTGCAAGACGTGCTGCATGGCATGACCGAGAATCTTTGAAGAACCTTTCACATCAAAAGGCACGGGCCCTTGGGAAACATCGTGGCAAGGTGGCCCATGAGTTCTTCGAACTGGCCACAAGTATCCTTCCCAACTCTTGAAATAGGCTGAAAGAGTGACAATATCGTTCATCGCTTGAAAAGGCAAAAATAGAGTTGTCACGTTATCTTCACAAAAACTCGATCTACTCATCCAGCTGACATCGGTCCTTCACTGTCACCACCAAGCTGACCTGCCACGTAGCGACTCAAAACCCTCAGCAGGGTTTGAAAATGCAAAAGCTGTGCACAAGCTACGCATAAGCTATGCAGCTATGCATAAGCTATGCATAAGCTCGCTGGTGTGGCATGTGACGTGAGGTCCTCATCAGAGCCTCGCCGTTGCTTTTTGACGTTCAGAGTCCGAATTCGTTGAGAATCAGTCTGAGGTCCCGGCAGGTGGCATACATGGGAGCCACAGGCTCTGGAATCCCCGGCAGTGCAACGTTTCGGAAAAGTCGGCGCACGCATCTGAGTGGTGCAAATCAGCAACAGTTTCAGAAGTCAGAATTCATCAAAAAGAACAACTCTTTACAAAGTCAACCTGGAACGTTGGGCTGGTACAAAAGTCAAACCACACATCTGATCCTCCACGGTAGCGATAGAAAAAGGTGTCTCAAAGGGAATCTTGCACAGTTAGTTGCTGGGCTTCCATACGGTGAGTAGAGCGAACGACCAATTAAGGCCTCGGCAGCAGGCGTGGTAAGGAAATGTCGTGTCATGTCCCCTCATGAAGCATGGAGCGTCTGCCTGTTCACAAATCAAATCAAATCAAGCAAAACAGAATGAAACCGCAACAGTATATAAACAATCACCATGGTTCTTTTTGCACCCCGAAAGCAGTTCTATTTTCGGCAGCTTGCCAAACTCCTTCCAAAAACTGAAAACCCACTATATATATATATATACCTAGAATCTAAAACCTTTATACACTACAATTGCAACATCTTTCAAGACAAAACCATCCGGCAGTGTCGAGCGGCTGCAAGGATCAAACCAACCCACATCTGGGAGCTCCTGCATGGATCTCTTGCTGAATTAACCACACTTCTGCCAGTACTGCAAACTCTCCGCAAGTGAAACTTCATTGAAGAAACAATACCGAACGTCTACAATCTACAAGTCTGTGAGTGGCACAAATGGTCTGATGTAAGAAAGGGCGCTGCCACAATATCTAGAAAGTCAAGTTTCCGTCTCGTTGGCCTGAGTAGAAATCAAAACCAATTTGTATAGGTTGATACAATCGATTTGACATCACAGTCAGCATGTCAGATTGCAGGTGTGGGTGCAAACAAAAATGCCTAAAATCTTTTGTTTGCTCGCTCGCTTGTTTCGACATCACATGAATTCGTGGTTCCAAACCTCCAAAAACTGCGAAGCGACGCAAATGCGCCCTCCGTCTTCCTGGCGATGGTTCCGTTGCCAAAAGCAAATGCATTTGGTGTTGCCAACTATTTTTGAAGTGTT